TAAGACCAAACAGTTTAAAGAAATGTATACAGCTTAATTGGAATTTTGCACATGACAACTTGTAGTGAATAAGTAGACATGATGGGGCAGAAGACGCATATTTCTTTCAGTCTGTTCAAAAGTGGTAAACAGAGAACTCTTCAATAATCAAGCATGTTTAATAGGCCAAAAACGCTTTCAAAACGGTAACACGGTAATCCCTAAACTAGCACCAAACTCTCTAGGACAAACTCCTGCTGAAAATAAAAAACTGTCAACTCTACACACAAATATAATAGTACATGTAACTTAACTTGTACACGTGATAATCATACGCATAACTTTCAAATTCAATTTAATGTCTCTTAGGGCGCACACACACTTTGGTAACTGTCTTCCTGACACCTTCCATAACCTAGCCTATATCTGTATCTAAAAGACAGCTCTATTGTGTGTTCCAGAGTACACTAAGATGCTATGACCTTCCTAAGATCTTACCTGGAATCTCATGTCATCTGGGTTATATTCAGTTTTCTTTTTGGTCCTGTATGGCAGGAAACCTTCAGTTGTCCAATAGATCTGCTGAGGCCTACGCCCACTGTTCGTCAGGGTAAACCACCTCTTTACCGGCTGGCAACTGAACTGAGGACCCAGTTTGACAGCCGGGGCTAAAGGAGGGTCACTGACAATGGTGGTTCCAGAGCCATATGCCATGAGGCTGACTGTTTGGATCTGACTGTCACTGATGTTAATTGACAACTTGTCCTGGAATCTAGCATAAAAAATAATTACTCTAACTAGAGCAGGTGTTGACAAACAATTTGAATGATAATTTTTGGATGATTACCCTCTGATGATGGCAGTTTCAGAATATAAATTATGAAGTATTATTTACACCTTTTAGTTACTATGTACAATTTAGTATGTAGTATTCTACCATACGGGCCACTGAAATTTGAGGCTCCATTTAATTTGTTGCCAAAATGTCTCGTGACTTTTCACCAAGTTTGATGCAGCCCCGCACAAATGTGTCTAATATCTCTCCTTGCTGAGAAAAAGTCAGAAACACTAAGCATGTCTTGGTACAGTAGAGCAACATTGTGATCGCTGTATAATTTATGTACTTTGTTTGTAATTCTCCAGCTCAAATCACTGACCAGTCGGAGTTTCTCTTAGATTTGGTGGAGCAGCCATCCCCAAAGAGAGACATGGGCCAGCATACTCAGGTTAACTTGTCACTCAAAAAACATCCAAAGTGCCTTACTTGACAGTATCATCCACATTTGCTGTCACTTTAAGTTTCAATGCATTCTCAGGAGAAATAACACCCTGGGCTGGTTCAACAGAAAACAGAGAATTTGGACGCACCTGCAAATTAAACAAGACACAAGAAGCACATTTAGAGGCACACGCTAATGGACTGTTATTAAAAACAGTACAGTTCTAAAATGTTCAGCCATTGACTTACCATAGAGCAAGAAAATTGGGCTGGAATGAGAGACTCGTTGGAAAGTTGTACAATCTTGGAGATATCTGTTAGGACTGGGATGGTGCCGTAATTAACATGGCTGGGAGTCACATGTACCACAGGTCCCTCACCAACACACTGAATCTGGACTCCCTGTTTAATAAGTTTACATTCAAAATGTAAGTATTTATTACCTTAAGTATATACTAATACATGCACGACAGATTTTTTTTTTTTTAATTCGCTTAATGAGATCTACATGTACATGAGGTCAGAAGGTGGAGATGGAAAAAATTGGATATCATCTTTTTCTCTACCACAATTTAGCCATCTATAAAAAGTAAAATTTCGTTTCTGGTTGGCTTAGAACCCACGTATACTATAAGATGAAGACCTGAGACTACCCAGGCCCGTGAGCTCAAAAAAAGGAGATAAAAAATACAGGTATTTGTCATACACCACTTAGTCCTTTGACAAACAGTTTCTTGCAATCAAAGTGGTAGCTAACAAGGATGTGTTAAAAGTGATTACAACACTGCTCACCTTGTGCATTTTTTGATGCTATAAAGTTTCTTCAACTTACCAATGGTGCATCACTGCTACCAAAGATCATAAAATAAGCCATTGTGGTAACTTCCTCCAGGCACTCTGCTGTTATATGAAGAGGTACCTTCTTGAATGAATGAGGCTGGATTATTCCCTGCAAACATACAATGTAAAGTACTCTTCAGTAAAACAAAGCATGCTGTATGTCACTTTGTAAAGTACAAATATGTCCTCATTCAAACTTATAGGAGAAAATCTGGTTAGAAGGCCCAGATACAATGATGTACTAGCCTGGCAGGCATTCTCAATAGCCCCCAACAGAATTTCTTACCAGCATGATCTGGATGATTATCTCTTACAGTACTTAAAAGGTAATTTGACTTTCCTCAAAATGTGCCCAAAAAAACCTTCACTTGCTTGTTGGGCAGGTGAAAAGTAGAATCAGTTAGCCTGACAGCAAAATTCAATGGTCCCAAAGCATTGCACACAACTTTCTTTGCATGCTGGTTGGTAACTCACAGGCATACCTATGAACAACTCATCAGTTTACTGCATAACAGATCAATATGCATGCAGGTCTAACTGGAGTTAACAAAATTTTGGCCTTAATTATCAACTTTAGATCTCCAACCTGTCTAAATCACATATTCACACCAGCTTACTTAACGATGACAGTATGCATTATATTAAGGACGGTGCCTCCTTTTGTTAGTGCGCACACGTTCTGCGCATCAAGGAAGCCGTGGTTTAAGCACCGCGCGCACACTGGGGTTGACATTGACGCAATCAACCATGCTACCAAGTGCATGACTAAAATGAAAGCAAAATTCTCTCTGTGACCAAACCAAGTTTAATGAACCTGTACTTAAACCAGGAACACTAGAATACCAGCACATTGCTAACCTCTAACTGTTAACGTCTTCCAGTTGAAAAACCAGCTGTTATCTGTCAAAAATTATACTGAAATCCAACTGTAAACATGTACCAGCAGATGGCTGGTTGTGAGCAAAAGGTATTTAGACTGCATTTTCGCTGAACCAGAGGGAGGCTGTCAGAGACACTAAAAGCGCTGTTGCAACGATTTTGTTGTTAAAAACATACCAAACACGGTTTTTATGTTACCATTTGCCATATAGTTTAAAGATCTTTTTACATGTGTTTGCTTTTCTGTATGTAAAGGAAAATTCTAAGGAAATCTGTGGAGAAATACGCTTTCCTTCTTTTTCAGAAAAATGCTGATGTCAGCATTTTTTTTGAGACTCAAGGCTAATTATCTCAAAAAAATGCCTGGCTATCCCCATTTTTCTTTTTGGATTCCAATAGCCCTTGGAAAGATCTATTTTTTCTGCGTGGTCCTAACCTCGCGCAAAAACCTTTGTATTTAGTAGGCACCGTCCTTAAAAGGTCTCTGGTTTGAAACCACTGTCACACCATCTCATGATCACTTCATCAGTCACTCCCTACGTCAGCGACTGAGTATTCGGTGTGGATGTATCACTCACTATGACAGCAAATCAGTGTTCAGTATGGATGTATGCTGCTGTTACAGAATGCAGCAAGATAGCATTTAAATGGTTACCCAGCTTTATGTCCTTCCCATCTCACCTTTGGTTCAGGACTTGAATACAAGATTGGTGTCACATCTTCAACAACCTGTGGAGCGGAGAGTTCAATACCACATTTTAAATACAATTTGATACAAACCACACACCACACCAATTCACTGTAAAGGTCAAAAAAACATACATGTAAGCAAATGTGCATGTACCTGTGACAGCAACTCATATTTGGCAGGAAGATCAGACTCATTGAGCAGATCGACTAATAACTCATAAGGGTGATGGAGGAAGCAGCGTCCATAATCCAAGATTGGTGTAGAGACAGTAATGGGTGGGACAACACACCTGTCCAGAAAATAGGCATTAAACAATGTCTTATAAGCATCATAAAATGCATCAAAATTTGCAAGGACTAACATGAGCCTTATCTGTCACTTGGCATGAAGAAAGTTTGCTCCAGCAAATTACACATTAAAAATCTGATTGTTCATTGAGATAATATTTCCCAAATTGAAGCCTTTTTTCACTTGGCCATATAACATTTGTTGCAGTTAAAATGTATTTTTAGCATAAAATTTCTCCCCTTAGTTTCAAATAATGGCAATGAACATCAAACAAAGGAATTAAAAATCAGCCTGTCTTGAAAAATAATTAAACTAAAACAACCACAGGGAGAAATTTGAGAAATTTATCAGAAAGGATAAGGTTAACAGTTGTAAACAGCCTTTTTTTTCTGAACTATAGCAATACAGCCTCTGTAAGTGACAAAACCCAGAATGTTTTTAGAAAATAGCCCAAAGAAAATATGCACACTGATTTGTTCAAAATTGTGTTTCTATAACTTGATAGAAACACAGTCTAACTAGTACAAGCTGCTGACGTAATGATGATATGAGAAAAGAGAATTTACATTTCGATGATCAAAGTAAACAAGTGTTTTTTGTTTTTTTTTTCCGGCATGGAATTATCTAAAAGAAACAGACATGTTCTCTGTGTTGCTATCAAGTTAACTATAGAAACACTTGTGAAAGTTTGGGAGAACTTGGAAAAGCGGCAGAAACACTCGCCTGTCGGCTCATGTTCCCACAGCATTTCTTGTTCTCCCAAACTTCCACTCTGGTTTCTATAACGCAATAGAAACATTGCACATGTTTTCTATTTCTTATATAATTCATGAAAGATGCACTTACTTGGCTATTATTGGAAGTGATAGAATCTCTTCTCCAACTCCATCCACATCCACCACCAAAGCAATTTCATACTTTTTGACAGTGGTTGACACAAAGTCCACCTGGAGAACAAAAAGTGAACAACACAAGTTTATGAAAGTTACTTATTCCATAGATTTCAAAAAGTTCATTGAAAGCAGCTACATGTAAGTCAACATTCCACAAAAAGATAAGAATCAAAATGATATGAACATGTAGGCTTGTTGTATCACTATTGTTCAATTTTACATGTTTCTATGAACAGGCATAGATCTAGGATAAATGATGACCAGTTTACAAAATAATAAGTGTGGGAGGCAAAAGCTTCTAGAGGGGTCCAGGGCCAAGTTCCCCAGGAAATGTTTTTCATTTTAACCCCTAAAAGTTCCCATTCCTGAGGGTTTCTGAGTCATTCTGAAAATCCTCCCAATTTCCGTTAAACAGAGGAAGCCAGTATGGATCCACCCCTGATGAAGGTCCCCTACACTGCAGATGGTTGGCCTCTCATCTACAATTTCCAAAGAGTAGCTCATGTAACATAAAATATTTTGTAAAAAACACATCCTTGTTACCTTTACATCCAGCTCTCCTTGAGGAGCAATAGTGCCAGTTGACGGGGAAATATCAAACTCCCTTGGAGAAGGCATGCTGGTGCTACCAACATCACTGAGGTTACTGTCAATCAGGCTATTGTCACGACTGTGCATTTCCTCACTGGCCCAGCCTTCAGCTGGTACACGCAAGTTGAATGTCATGGGGATTAGGGAAGTATTCACCAGAGTGCAGTACCGAGTATTCACAAAACCTGCAAGTTGAAGTGTGGTGGAAATTGCAGCATTAAACATATTATAGCTCTGTATGTATGTTACTTACTTTAAAATGATAGCTACAAGGCTTAAATCATGTAAAGAAAAAACATCAAACTGCGCATTACAGTTTATGGACATGATCATGTGTCAACAGAAACTTTTCCACAAAGTACAAGGGAGGCTTTATTGGCATGCAGTTTTGTAAGAGCATCTATTATTGCCACACCAACACATATATAAACACCATTTTATGTTATTTCACAATAAAAGTTAACGTTAAAAAACAACGTTTCGACCATTTGACGGTCATTTTCCGTCGAACGCTCAAAACGTCATTGTTTTTTAATCTTAACTTTTACAGTGAAATCCGTTTCTAAAAATTTGTTGATTCACATTTTATGCTATTGTATTAAAAGGAAACTGTGAGTAGTTGTCAAACATTTAAATCTGTAGTTCTATGTACAGCACTTTGACCACAAGAATTACTGTATGTTCCAACCATTTCACCATCTACACTCTTGAAAGGGATAATTCAGGGCAA